TCTGTGGAAGCCGGTACTTGGAGCACACACTTTTCTTGCAAGTGAAGAAGAATCCAGGACATAAGAGGTTTACATAAATCAAAAATCGTTAAGATTGGACAAAATAAAATCGGTTTTCTGTGGGGATTTCTGCTAGCACACCCATGATCCCTGCTCACCTGTCAGAGCTCTGAGCACACCAAGCAGGCAGCAGGCACAGCCTGGTCCATGCCATGAGCCCAGGGCCATGCAGGTGCCCTGCAGCCTGCTCCGCAGTCAGGGCCCTCACCAGACTTCCTCCACCAGGCCTTCTGATTGCCACTAAAAAGTGATACCACTCCTTTCTGTTCTCCTGAAGGCCTGAACAGCAGGCCTTGAACCTAAATTGACTTCTAGATGAATCTCACAACTCAGCATTATATATCATCAGTATCTGACTATTAGCCAAATACATATGCTAATTAGCAAAATATGTTGGACAAATACTTAGCCTAATTAGCAAAATATCTTGGACAAAACCTCTCATTAGCAAGGGATGTAGCTTAGAAAAGCATTATAAAAATGTATTAACCTTTCCTCGTTTAAAATCATTGTGTCAAGGCCTACTAGTACACAAACTTCCTTGGTTTCTCCTTGAGCCCTAGCCGGGTTTGAGGTCGAATCCAAGAGAGAATGAAACCAAATGTTTCAAGAGAGGCCCCTTCCCTGGAGGTGTTCAAGACCAGGCTGGATGGAGCCCTGGGCAAACTGGTCCAGTACCAGATGTGGAGGTTGGTGGCCCTGCCTGTGGCAGGGGGGGTTGGAACTTGATGATCCTTGGGGTCCCTTCCAACCCAAGTCATTCTGTGATTCTATGTTTCTGCCTAACTGTCACATTAACTTGTTTACTCAACAATATAACACCTGGATCCTCTAGTAGCAAAACTGCAGACTTCCTCTACAAGCAGATGTACTGCATAGGGCCCCCCAGCTACAGGGAAGGGCTCTCCAAGTCCTCACCGTAACTGGGGCTCCCAGAGACTGAGGATCTGGATGATGGTGAAATATTCGGGCAATTGGTGATGCAACTTTCTTAATCACTATTGCTATCCTCACGCAGTAATGGCCAGGTGCATTGCCTTGCTCTGTATTATTCTTGCTGTATCATCTCACTTATTATCACAGATGGCTTGGGGGGTTGGAAGGGACCTCAAGGATCATAAAGCTCTGAATTCCAACCCCTCTGCCACATGCAGGGCCACCAACCTCCACATTTAATACCAGACCAGGCTGCCCAGGGCCCCATCCAATCTGGCCTTGAACACTTCCAGGGACAGAGCATCCACAGCCTCTCTGGGCAGCTGTTCCAGCACCTCACCACTCTTCATAAAGAACTTCCCCCTGATGTCCAACCTAAATCTTCCCTCCCTCAACTTCAAACCATTTCCCCTTGTCCTGCCATTATCTACCCTTGTAAAGAGTTGATTATCTCACCGCTTTAAACTTAAGTAAACATGCTTCTTTAAGTTGGCGCCTGTGACCTTAGTGCTGGTCCTGTCCAATGGCAAAACATCTTGTGAAAAGTAAATTATGTTTTGCAGTAGAACAATGCTAACTAAGATACAGATTTTTGCTAAGCTTTCTGACAAAAATGGCTGCAGGGGTTGTTGTTCACAACGAATCACTGGGGCATAGGTTAGTACAGGGTAGAGTAAGTTTGCCAAGTAGCTTGGTTATCAAAATACCTAGAGCAGGACAAGGTAATAGAGAGGAAGAGTCTAGCATGCATTGTCCTCCTGTCCCCCTGATAAATGAAGAAGTGCAGGTGGGCCCAATATGCACTGCCCTCCAGTCAGCCTTGAAAAATGGAGGGGGCCTAGAATGCATTGTTCACTTGTTCCCCACTGAAAGATGAAAGAACAGGTAGATGATAAATTGATATGGAAAAATATTTTAGCAGTCACATCGGGAAGACTGTGAGCTTGATATGCTCAACCAGTGAGCGACAAGAGAGGTGTTGGAGTGAGGGTATTTAATGGAGTGAATTTCTGTGGTAAGTTGCACAATTCCTCCCTTGCCATAAAGGGCTGTGCCCCATTATTGCAATAATGAATACATTCCCTCCTTCACAAAGATCTTTGCCTGACAAAAAGTTATTGATTCCGTGTGTTTCTCACATCCTGACAGTGGTTACTGCCTTCCTAAGTTACTGGGGGCAACAGCCTGAAAGCATCCACAGGAACTTCATCTCAAGATAAATAAATACATAATCATTGACTGGTTTGGGCTGGAAGAGAACATAAGGAGCACCCAGTCCCACCCATAGAGCAGGACTCAATCCAGCCTGCCCTTGGGCACCCCCAGTCCTCTGGACAGCCTGTGCTACAGTTCTGCAAATGTGCCATATGATCAGTCATTACCCTACACTCACAATACAAAGCAGATGGAAGAACACAAAAATACTGAAAATCTGATGCCGTTCCACATCTTCAGTAGTTTGGAGGTCAAGAAAAAGAAATGCTATGTTCTAAGCCCTGCGATCACAGACTGACAGCACTGTTTTATTTCAAGGAACTTCTGATTTCAATGTTCTTGACCAGGTGCTTCTGCTGCCCTATTTTAGGGCAAGTGGAAAATATTGAGTCACTCTGCAGTCAAAGTGTCTAGAAAAGCTTTGCTTTTGGCAAAGATTGTTTTAAAAGATATCGTATACAACCATCTTGGGGAAACACATGGAAGAATACCGAGACAGAAATGTTTGCTTCAGAGCACTCAGTGGAAGGGAAATGAAGGCTATGCAAACAGCCCTAATTTAACAAGACACAGCTATATGCACAATCCCTACACACTTATGTAAAAGCAAGATTGGGTGGTTCTGCAGTAGCAGTAACAAGAAGATACGACACTCAATTTTTATGCCAGAGAACAACATCCACTTCTGGTTTTATTTCACTTAAAATCAATAAACTAATAGTGTAATTAGAAGCCCAGCTCTTTCGACATGATATTGCTATAAAAGAACAAATTACTTTTTGGTAATCAACTCCCAGCATCCCAGTGTTGCCTTAGTTGTTGAAATGTTGTTGAATGATACATGCAGAGAAATCAAGAGCGAGGGATTAAACCTCATTCCCAGAGGAGGATCTGCCATTGAAGAAAGCTGCAGACCCAGGAGCTGCACAGGCAAAACACACAGCACTGAATGCTGCTCAGGGACAGAGATGGGCTTCCCTGCTACAGAACTGCAAGGCATGCTCTGATGGGGAAAGCATTTCTCTACTTACAATTAGCTGATGAACAGCAGAATTCTCTGTAACATGCAGAGATTTTCACTTCCATAACAGTTAATCTACTGCACTGTAAGAGGCATGCAGGTGCAGGCAAGTGATGTGCTTTTAGTCACACACAAAGGAAAGTAACAGCTGTATCTTACATACATGAGCTGATAACAGAGGCTATATAGAGGCACAGAGCTCATTTGTTCTCATAAGAAGCACATTATCTATTCCTTTCTGCTAACAAGGCTCTTTGCAGATACTTTTTTGCCCATTCAGCTCAGATGCGCCTGAGGATGACAGAGTGCTTTTTCCATCTCTGCCAACAGCACTCTGCTGTGGACCCTGAGCGTCCCTGCAGGGGATGTAAGTGTTGTCACCACATCTGCTTCCAGGAACAGGCACACTCGAAAGAAGCACACCCTGTACCTGCTAAGCTGAGAGCAGAAAGATGCAAGTCCAAAGATGCAAAATCATTCCATCGGGCCGTTCCACTCCACACTTCAAGTCCCATTCCACCCCATGAATAGCACATTGGCTCTATGGAATGAAGTCCTGTGCACTCGGGATCGTTTTTCAACCCCCACATGCCTTCATAAGAATTTGAAAAGATTAGCTATAGGACTTCTAAACACATACTTAAAACTTAAGGCCTGGTTCTAGCTCTCAGTATTAGTAATGGGCAATGAGCGTCCTGGGCTCAAGTCCTCCTCAGCATCTAGCTAGCAAGATTCCTGCACATCATTATTCAGCAACCAGAACACCTCCATTAAAATACTGCACGGTGCTTTTCGCTGTCCTGGAGTTCAGAAGATATTTCATTTACTACATCTAAGCAAATCAAAACCCAACTCTTAGCAAGACTCCTGAAACCAAAATCCTCTTTCCTAGCTTAAAACACAGCAAATACATATTCCTTTTTCAGTAGTTTTGTAAAGAAATGAGGATGATGTGGTGGGCGGCGGACCTCTAGCACCACCAATGCTTTTAACCCACTGCAGCTTCCGGAGGCCAGGGCTGGCAGGCCGCGCCTACGGCCAGAAAGATGCTCGTGGTTTCAGCAGAATCGGGCGCACAGGGAGAGAGCGGCGCACGTCACCTCCTCTCCTTTGTCCCCGCCCGAGGCGCTGACCCGAGGCCGGCCGCCCCTCGGGCCGCGCTCCCACAGCCCGCACGGCGCACGGCGCAGCGCCGCGACCCCGGCACCCGCTGAGCCTCGGCGGGGGGCGGCGGCCATCTGAGCCCGTGCGTACGGGCAGCGCTCCGCTCCGAGCAGCGGCGTCCGCCTGCGTGCAGCCTACTGAAATGAGACGGGCCACCATTTCCACGGGGGAGAAGCACGGGGAAGAAATTCACAATTTAAGGGTCGCGTTTCAAACCAGAAACCAGCAGGAATTTTCAAGTCATCCGCGTGCCGCTGCCGTTCGAACTCGTGGCACCGCAGCCACGCGCGGTTGTTCCCATTCCCATCCCCATTCCCCTTCACACGGGCCGCGCCCGCCGATGCGGGAGAACCGGAGCGCGCCGACCCCCGCGGCCGTCCCCCATCGGCCGCCCCCGGCCCGGGGAGCAGCGGACGGGAGCGGGGCGGGGAGCGCGGCCTGCGATGCGCGGCACCGCCGGGGCAGCCGCCGGCTCTCGCCGCCCCGGGGACGCGCGGCCCCCCCCGCCCGCATCGCAGCGCATCGCAGCGCAGCGCATCGCACCGCCCGGCTCGGCGCCGCGCACAAGATGGAGGCCGGGCCGGCGGCCCTCGGGCCGGCTCACCTCCTCGGCCTGCTTGCGCAGCGCCTTCTCCCGCTCGTACTGCGTGAGGAGCTGCTCGTTGTCCTCCCGCAGCAGCTCCAGCTCCACCTCGTGCTCCTGGTTATCGGTCAGCACCGAGTCCAGGTTCTCCAGCACCGTCACCACCAGCGGCATCAGCTCCTTCACCACCTCCTCGTCATAGCAGTGGATGAGCCGCTCGAACTCGCGGTAGATGCTGTTGGCCAGGCCCGACACCCGCTCCGACATCACCGAACCCGAGCAATAGTCGTCGCCCGGGTACCCCCCCACGCCGCCATCGTCCAGCTGGATCTCCAGCATCCTGCCGGCCTCACAGCGCTGCGCTGCGCCCCGCGTCGATCCGCTCCGCTCCGCTCCGCTCCGCTCCGCCGCCGAGACCCCCGCCGGGCTCCGCCCCGCCGCCGTCGCCGGGAGCCAATGAGGCGCGCGGCTCCGCCCCGCCACCGAGCCCGGCGCTGAGGGCCGCGGAGCCGCGGCCGCGCGGGGCGGGGTTTGCGCTCCCCGTTCTGGCCCCTTCCGTGCGTCCCGAGCCGCGCTGAGGTGGCGGGCGGGAATCCCGGGCTGACGGAAGCCCGGAACGCGCCGAGCTGGAGGGGCCGCAAGGACCATCAGAGCCAACCGCGGCCCCTCCCACACCACCCAAACCCGGCGCAGCCTTTCCCTCACCCCCCCGCCCTTCCCCGCCGCAGCTCCGTGTTGCTCCGTCGGACTCTGCCGCTGCCCCTCCGCTCCCTGTGAGGAGCCGCAGCCGCCGCGAGGCCTCCCGTCCGCCTGTCCGCAGCGCTGCTCGGGGCCGCCCCGCTCCTCCGCGCCGTGCTGTGCCCTCACCGCACGGAGCCCCGCAGCCCCCGGGCACACGAGGCGCTGCTGCCCGTGTCAAAAACCCGCACAGCCGCGCTGCCGCCGCGGGACCACCTCTCCTGGCACCAGGACGTGGCCACAGCAACGTGGCCCTTAACAAATCCAACTCTGTCCTCAGCATCCTGACCCCAACCCACGGCTGAGCACGCCATGGCACAGAGCCGTCCCAGGTGTGCGCACCCTAACAAGCCACAAACTGGGAAGGCTTTCAAAGTGCATGCTATGAATGTCGCAAACAAGTCGATTCTTCCCCGTGTACAACTTTAAATTCTCCATCATCTCACAAAAAGGAGAGGAGCATCATCCAAACCAGCTATTAATCAGTCTGAGGCCTGATCTAGGAGGTGTATTTCTGGAAGAGGGTGGAGTCAAGTGTTAGAACCTAATTTTGCAACCCGGTTACTAGTGCCAACCACCAAACACTTTCAGACCTGCATGTTTCTGCCCAAGGTCTATGAAAATCAGGACACTCCTGTGCATCCATATGTAACAGTTGTTTCAATCAAGGTAATTAATTATTTCAAGGTGAAGTGGCTGTGGTTTCTACAGTGAAAGGGTCAAGGGCCCTATTCAGACAGGGATGAATCAAGAGAGAAAAACAGAGGGAAAACTGGCTGTCCTAAGTGCTAAAAAGTCCGGCACCTGAGCCCTTGGAAGCAGCACTGCAGCCACACAGCTTCATCAACAGATTTCCATGAGCAGAAGCATGCTCAGAGAAATGCACCGGACTCCAGCATCCACAGCTCATATCATAAAAGTATGTGGTACTCAGTGACGTAATACATCTTACCAGAATCTAACAAGGGGATTGAAATGGGACATAATGCTCCAAAATGCACATGGTATCAGCATTCACCCGTTCTCTGCTGTGATGACATTTCATTACATCCTCATTCATCTTGATGCCCTTTTGCAAAATATCCTTGTGAATAACCTACATGTGAGAGATATTGCTTTTCACGTGCTTAGCTGAGGAAGTAGAGAGAGTCTGAAGTACGAGGGACATACGGTTACGGTTCCTGACAAAGAAAAGGCAAATAAGCACATTAAATGCTTTACACGTGTGTGAAATGGAAAAGCTTCTCACTTAGGCATTCTGATTAGGAATAAAAAGGTATACTGGCTAGGTACGTGATTTACATTATTGGAAGAAATGAAGGCAAAGGAGAAAAAAAGATTTTATAATTAGAAAAGCAGCTAAAAAATGCAAGCCCTGAAAAAGAATTTATGATATGAAAAATAACTATGCAATCACCTGATGATTATACGCAGTATTATCTCATCTTCTCCATGTTGTTATTTCTCTGAACTTCCCAGAGTTTCCAGCTACCTGAAATGAAAGTATAAAGGCAATCTGTCTATGGCAGTAGGTGCCATTTCTGGTTTCCTGCACAGACCTATTGGTTTTCTCAAGTGAAGAATCCAACACCACACTGCTCTCGCGTTACCACAGCCTGCCTGTCCCAGGTAGGATATTTGATTTACGCCCACAAAAGCAAGAACAGAGTCATAGGAGTTCTTCTGGCCCTCTGGTACTCAATCAACTTTCACCTGTGTTTATTTTAGATGTGCAGAACAGACCCTTAGAACTTGTTGGTGTGGGAGAATGGCCAGCCTGTTCTTGTAGTAAGATTTTGGATATTAGGAGATGCTTTTTTTTTTTTCATTACTGAGGCACTACTTCAGCCTGAACCTAGTGAGGTGATGCAGGACTTCATAGCTCATTTGTGTAATTGCATAGTATTAACAGTCAGGAAACAGATGAAGCCTAGACACTTAAAACTGCAATGCATGGACAGTTGAAGTTTTGAGATTTTTGAAACATACATATTTGTAGAGCTTTTCCTGAGGAATCATGTAGCATTTGTTAGAATTGTAAAATCACTGAGGTCAGAAAAGACCCAAAGATCATTGAGTCCAACCACAAACCCACCCTCACCGTGCCCACAAACCATGTCTTAGAATCATAGGATTGTTAGGGTTTGAAAAGAGCACTAATATCATCCAGTCCAACCATAACCCACCCCCACCATGCCCACCAACCACATCCCTTGCTGCTGCATCACCGTCCTTTCAGAAAAGCTAACTTAAGGCCACTCCCTCTCATCCTGTAGCTGCTACCTGGGAGAAGAGGCCATCTCCCACCCTCAGGAGCTGTAGAGAGCAGTGAGGTCTCTTCTAAGCCTCCTCTTGTCCAGACTGAACCATCCCATTTCCTCAGTGACTCCCCATAAGACCCCATTGTGCTCCAGACTCTTTACAGCTCCATTGCCCCTCTCTGGACACACTCCAGGGTCTCAGTGTCCCTAATGTTCTAAAAAAAAATAATAAAGGAAATTGTCCAAAGGGAGGTTAAGAGAACTTCATAGCCCATTTGCTACAAAGAAGCATTTTCAATTTGGGTGGTGAAAGGAAGAGATCAGACAAACAACTACAAAAGCTAACAGCTTAAAATAAGGAATAGGTTGTCAGGCTTCGCACTGTTATTAAAGGCCATAAGGACTGGAAAAAAATGGAGAAAAAAGAATGGCGAAAGAAAGACATGCCTATTTTTGATACCATTGAAATCTCCATTTTGCAATACATCTAATAAAGTAATTTAACAATTTTTTTTCCAAGCAATACTTTTCAGCATCTGTCTGCAGTCATTAATTGTTATTTGTACATGTCCAGCTGCCTTTCCAATATTTAATCCTCTGAATAGTCTTGGCAATCTTAAGGGGTCCCATTTGGGAAAAAATAAAAAAATAAAAAAAAAAAAAACGTGAAACAGAAGTTTAAATGGATTTGCTTATTTTCACAAATGGGAAACAAAGTCATCCCTGTTACGTATAATGAAAGAATTGTCCCCAGTACTAACAGAAGAGGTTTCTGTGGCCCATGCAAGATACAAGGTGGATGAAATTCTCATAACCTAAACAGAGTTTTTAGCGTTAGTTGCAAATGTGTTTTCATGCTAACGTAACATCAGAAACTCCAAGTATGAGGCACGAGAGCAGTGCATAAACTCTATGCGGACAAAGGCAGAGAGATAACAAATGGCCCCATCCAGAATAATCTTATGATGTAGGAAAAAGAAAAAAACTAGAAAAAACAGTGCCAACACAGAGGCGGTTAGGAATTCTTCCATATGACAAATGAAGCTACATGCTAAGGCAGAGATCTGTGTGTAATAACATACCCTGCAAGTGGAATTAATACAGAACGGAGTGGGATTATAGCGATGCACATGTCAATGACTGAGGCACGAAATAGCTGTATTCAGTAGCTATGAGACCAAAGATTAACAGCAGTAATTCAGTAACATCCACTTCACAAATACTATTTAGGTCTTATGCATTGTTTTGTGTCTCTGTTAGAGATTGAAGAAACTGAGGCACAGGTACTGAGTGAACCCATAGCACACAGGGAAGGAGTGCTGGAATGGGATGAGGGCAGAGGAGCTCTTGAGGGCTGAAAGCAGATCCGCAGACTGCATTTGATCTGTGTAAGCCCCGGCGTGGCAGACAGGCTGCCTTCAGCACATCGGCACTTCCTGAGTATAATAGAGTTACCGGTGCGAGGGATGTGCCAGCACGGCCGTGCTTGGATAGGTCCCAGCTAATCCGTGCCGTGTAATAGCACCAGAAAACCGCTGCAGAGAAACCTCAGAGGGCTCTGCGAGATCTCAGATTCAGCTGATCTTAGGCTGCGGAATTTGAGCACAGTGGCAGCAGCAGAAAGCCATCTCCTGTCCACATCCTGTTCCTGCACAGAGTTTAACCTGGCAGGATAGGCAAACCAGGGGCTGATCTATGGAAAGGCTCCTGACATTAATTTGATTTAGAGCTCAAAGATGAGTGTAATTCCAAGGTCATTATTGTCATCCTAAAGACTCCGTGTTACACAAAGCTAAAGGAGTTTAAACCTACTCTAGAAGCTTAATTGCAATGGGAATATTACATCTCACCCTTGATTAATGGTCTTAAGTTTTGTAAATGTTCCATTGTATGTGATGTCATTATACCTAACTATATTGCTAGCATATTGTAGATTCAGTGCACAACAACTTTAAAAAGACACATTTAAGTCTTGTCTCATGAAAAGGGAGAATTGATAGTCAAATAATTATTTCATCTGAGATGCATTTAATTATGGAATGGATCACTGTTAATCATGGGGCAGCTCCACTCAAAGCATTGTGCAGAGGATGTCATGGGTGTGTATGTGAATGCAAAAGTCCCTCTGAGAAATATAAAATGCAAGAAAGTTGGCCCAAGGGTTTGGCCTCCATTCCTACTGTGTTGTGTGGGAAACAACATAAACAAAAAGTAGCACACTAGCAAAGCATGCTTAATTGCCTTCCTGATGGCATTTAAAGTATTAACAATACAAACATACAAGATCATGCAAAAAGAGTGGAACAATGGAGAGAAGGTTCATGCTGCAGTGTGTTCTGGTTCACTCCTCCTTACATCAAGTATTCTGTTTTCGTGTAGTCAAGAGAGGACACAAAAGGCA